ATCTATGGCTTATCTTTCTAATCAACTTTTAATTTGTTTACGCGACCTGCAGAACATTGACTGCTGATTTTTTTTTTTTTTTTTAAACGGGCAAGGCGAAAAATTTGCCACGTTAATTTCACAGCCAGCCTTGCCACGACAATTGGCTGTCCAGATTTTGATGAAATCTAATTAAAGGGGAAAAAGCCCAGAAGCTAGCGAAAGGGAAAGAAAAATACTTACAAAATGGTCATTATTAGTGTTTAGTTAGCTGGATGGGTTTTTAAAAGCAGTAGGTGAGTAATTAACATTAATCAGAGAGTTTTGAAGGCAGTCATGATGGCATACTTTCTACCATATAGCATTCATATTTGTAAAATCATTGATCCGCGAGTGCTCAGGTCCAAGTATTTTATCGGGTCCAGAATCAAAACCGGAACCATTGAAGATTTTTTAAGTCATGAATGTCTTTCCATTCATGCTATAAGACTTTTTTAATTCCCATAGCTAGCTTGATCCGAAGAGAAGATGAGGTGACCCTTTGAAGATTTTATTTTGCCAGAAAAAATACACTAGGTCCGTTTGGTAAAGATTCACATGAGCTCACCTTCATAAGTTCAATTGTGCTTCGCCTTCCTCCTCCTTTTTGGTTGATATACATATATATTTTTTCTTTTCCCATCGAGCTTTCATACTGCCAGGCTAGGGATACTTATTATGTACGTAGTAGTAGTACCATTTTATTTTTTCTTCGTTTCTTTTTGGAATTTCAAGCAGTCGAGCCACCATTTTTTTCCTACTTCTTCACATCAATTAACCAACCCAATTATTCTAAGTTACATTTCTTTCTGCGCTCAACTCTTACTATTTCAATTCAGTCCATACGTACCGGACAGGGGAGCATTGACAATAGCAGCAGCCACTCTCAAATTTTTACGAGTATCAATTAATGTACTGATTTCCACTGCGCTGAACTCTGCTTAATTAGTGGGAACCACGCCTTTTCATATTATCTGATTAATTTAACTTATATTTAAAAGGCAATGTATGTAGTAGAAGATAAGCTTAAGCCAAGCTAGTCAGAGAATTCTATACCTAACGTATACTTATGGAAATACGCATGCTCTGGGGCGGTCAAAAAACTGGGTGAGACGAAAAAAATGGCAGCCTATGCGCATATGTTCAGGTCAAAGACGCTTCGTAGGGAAGACAAAGAAGAGAATGATTACAACATCAAATATTGTTAAGGACCACGGATAGCCAATTAGCGTCTGCACAAATAAATATCCATTGTCATTATACATACACCCCGATGATTATAATTTCATAATTTCTCGTCATATCATTCAATAATTCAAACTCTTCATCAAATCATCTATCCATCTATATCCACCACCGGAGTACTGTAGCTATATATGATTATAATTCAATAAGTTTTTTGTCATATTACTCGATAGTTTAAATTCTTAGAATCGTCTGACGGACTGACTGGTCGATGATCATATTTTTTTTCACTCATCAAAAAGTGAATTGATATTCATGGGTACGACACTGTTGAAAAGATAATCTAGAACTCCGCGTTATTATAGTACTGCATATCGTGTACTTGTGTTAAGAGTTAGTGTGTGTGTGTGTTTGGGGGGAGGGGAGGGGAGGGGAGGAAGAAAGAGAGGGTGGTACGAATTGAATGGAAAAATAATTTGCAAACCGTCCACTGGAAAACTGAAGCGCATAAATCCTGGAAATCCGGGGCCATCTTTTTGACAAATTAAACAAGTTAGAACCAAGAAAGCGGGGGTCGCTCTCAGCTCATGTATATATTCTTCATCAAAATTCTACTAATCAACAATTCCAACGCTTTCTACTCATTGCCTTTCCCCATCCTCGGTGACTGTGTTTCTACTAACCAGCCAGCCGCTCCCAAAAAATTTTTTTTTTTCTACTGCTGTTAGATTCCTTTTAGTTTATTGATCAGTCGAACCCGGCATTTCAACTATTTCTTTCATTATACTAGTACTACCTTTCATGACAAAGAAAAATCGGGAACACGATCGATCGATCGACAGCCCACGCATACAATCATGTAAGCAATGTGGTGCAGTATCACCACAATTCGAACCAGCAAGAACACACACACACACACACACACAAGTGTCGCGTTCTACTTCTATATATATATAGTATTGGTACTAACACTAAGCTCTAACTAATTATCATAACGAAAGGCAAAACCCAGTACGCAGTTAAAATAATAGAGAGGGAAGACAAATTGGGGAGTGCGTGTGAAAATTGAGGACGAGGTTGGTGCAACATTTATACATGTCGACGTTTGGCAGTTGTGAGACAAGTTAGAAATTTAACTAGCTCTGACGTCTGGATGATGATGTCCATCTTAATTAATTAATGTGGTTCATTCATGAAGTGTTTTGTTTTACTGATGATGAAATGAAGGATGCGTTAATATTAGGGGCACCGAGAGCTCTACATGACTTCAAAAAGAACAAGGAGAATTTTTTTTTTTTTTAGAATAATTTTTGCAAAAAATTTAAAAAAAAAAAAAAACCAGAACAGACAGACTATAAAATCCATCTTGTGTGCAAAGAAAACAAAATTTAAAAAGAAAAAGGATGTTGTGCAGAGTTGAGTGTTTCAAGCACATTGAGCCCTCCTTCATTCATTTCTTTATGTATTTCAAAGCTTAATAATGATGATATTTATCTATCAAAACAGATGGAAAATGGACGCCTGCTGAAAAATTTGACACTCGGAACACACACCGGTCAAAAGCCGGATAAGTCTTAATCAGTTATAATTGCTGTACTTGTACTGCTACTAGTGTAACTGATGAGGAGATTAATTGAAAACTCAATACACATCACTAGGCAAATTTCAAAGTTGAAGCCCAAAAACAAAATCCAGTAGTAGGTGACGCACTGACTACACACACACACACGCCTTTTTCCATCTTCTTTTTTTTTTTTTTTTTTTTTTTTTGGGGTGCGTGTGTGTGTGATAGATATGATGGATATCAATTTCGGAAGAGGAATCAGCCAATAATCCTAACAGAGAGTGATCAATGGCGAGGCAATCGCAACCAACCCCCTGGCACTGGCAGGTGGAGTTTAAGTCTTGGAAGAAAGGGATTTGTTTACGAGCAAGGCACGTGTCCCCATGACTGACTAATTGTTTCTTCTCTTCTTGGTTAATAACACGACTGCTACTGCTGCTGCTGCTACTATATATTTTGATTTGATTTGATTTGTTGAATACTACTATTTCTTGAGGTTGCTTTTTGCCCGGCCCCTCCCAGGGCTCAGTTTCCTTTTGGGGAGTAAGGAGCCATATATTCATTCCTTAATGGAATCCTTCTAGAGGCCGAGGCCTGGCTCCTCACCAATTATTTTTGCCCCCACTTTTACAAATAATCTCCTTTCGCACCATGCTACTCAGTATATTGTAATCCCGATCGATTATATATATAATATACGTACGACGACACTGCATTCTCCGGTCTAATAATAGATAAATGACGGGCTGGATAATATGGAATCTTTAAATAAATGTTTAGTGTGATATATGCAGCATCATGCACGTCTGCCGTTTTACATCAGCTTAGAGTTTTTTTTTTTTTTTTTTTTTTTGGAAAAAGCATCAGCTTAGCTGTTAAGTTCACAGGAATCCCAACATTTAATTAAATGCCATTAGTTAATTGAAGCATGAGATCATGCAGAAAAGGGAGGCAGGAACAGTTTTAAATTTCAATCCCTCTGCTAGCTAGCTGTATTAACATTCCAACAAGTACTGCCCAGTTAGTATGATACTCTTTTGTATGCTAATTTCATACATGGCGAGTGACTACTAAATTAAGCAGATGTGGATCAAAGGGAGCAGCAAGTGTCAGCGAAACGAAGAGGAAGAGGAGCAAGCAATTTATTTAGAAATGCTAATTAGAGGAATCATCCTGGAAAGCCAAAATGGTGCGTGCAAAAAGTTAAACAGCAAAGGAAAGGGCTTACTATTCATTGAGACATAAACTTGTACTATAACTTCTTTTTTTTTTTTTTTTTAAAAAAAGTAACATTGGAACACCCTTTAATTCGAGCATACATCTTTTTTTTTTTATATAAATTGATCAGGAAGGGATAGGGAACCTTCCCCCTGCCCCCCAAAAAACCCTCCTCCTTCCAGAAGGGAAAAAAAACACACGCAAACACACTAAAATATATATATATTTTTTGGGTCAGGATTCGAATTGGTACACTTGGAAGTAGTCGAGTGCAAATGCATTGGCTCCAAAAGGATCTTAAGGAGAGCGAAAGCGATTGGGAAAATTATGAAGATATGTGGAGTTATCCATTAGCCAGGAGTGGAGGTAGGGGCCAAGGGATGCATATACATATATTTTTTTATTAAAAAAAAAAGAAAAGAAAAAACCCTCTAAAAGCCAAGGCATTTGATACTTTTCCACCATATAAAATACCTTATATCTAGTGAATGAAATCATGAGGTGATGAGAAAACGACAATGCTAATCGGTGCTACAAACACAAAAGAGATGTCCCCTCTCCCGACCAATATGTACATATATATATATTTATATATATAGCCATATGCAATTTTTAAGTCCACTACAAGGACAAATGAGTTTTTATAAAGCAGGATTAGTAGTTTAAGAAATGGAGGAAAAACTTGAGTGGGTGAATTTTACAAGGGAAAATATGTGTTTTGGTGGTGATCACGTGATCATCATGCATGCTTGCTACAATTTATAAATTCTCTGGTGCGTTAAGTTAAGGGTCTGTTTGGAATCTGAGTTTTTTAAGAGTTTGTCTGAAACTTTACTGTAGTGCACTATAAAAGTTTTTGAAAAAATTTTGTAGAAGTTTTTTGTAAGGTGAAAAACATTTTTGTAGAAGTTTTTGCAACGTGAAATTTTTTTTTCTTTTTCTCTTTCTTTCTTTCCTTTTTCTTTTCTTTCCTCTCTTCTTCTTCTTCTTCTTCCTTCCCTCTCCCCTTTCCTCGTTACCTCTGCCTCCCAGCAGCAACGCAGCCTGCTCCACCCCCTACTCCACCATCGGCCCCATCTCCAGCACCTCCGCCAAGGCCTCCTCCAGCCCCTCTTCCCACGCCTCCACCTGCTCCACCTCCAACACCACCACCAATGGCTCCACTAGCCCCTCTTCCTACTCTCCCGCCTGCTCCACCCCCAACTCCACCATCAGCCCCATCTCCTACACCACCACCAACTCCCCCAGCAGCACTTCCACCTGCTCCTCCACCAGCACCTCTTCCAACGCCACCACCAGTAGCACCACCACTACCTGCACCTCCTCCAACTCCAGCACCACCATTGGCTCCTCCACCAGCACCTCCTCCAACACCACCTCCCGTCACCCCTCTCCTCCCTTTCCCCTTTTCCTCCCCTCTGCCCTTCCCCCTCCCTCTTCCCTCGCCCGACAGTCAACGCGCACCTCCTCCACAAGCCAGTTAGTTTTTTTTTTTTTTTTTTTTTTGCAATTTTCATCCTTCCCCTCACCTCCCCCTCCCCGCAATCTGGTGGGTGGAAAAATCCCCCTCCCCAGTGCGATCTAGCCTCGCTACCAGATCGGCCAGAGGAGAAGGGGAAGGGTGATGAGGGAGGAGTGGGGAAGGGAATTTTTTTTTTTAAAAAAAAAGGGTATACAAACTGGGTAAAGGGAGAGGATGGTAGGGGAAAATGGCAGAGAGAGAGAGAAAGGCCAAAAAAAAAAAAAGGAAATGGCGCTGGATGTGGTGGTCGGCGACGGAGGTGGTGATGGGTTGGGATGGGGGAGGAAGAAGAAAAAAAAAGGGAAGGGAATTTTTTTTTGTGTGCTTTGTGTATTTTGAAGTGTGTAGATAAAAAACTTAGAAAAGTTTTTTGGAATCCCTATAGCAAAAGTTGTTAAAAAACTAGTAAGTAAAAAACTTACTTAAAAATCTGGCGTCCAAACAAGCCCGTTAACGTTTCTTCTCACTAGTGTGTCGGTAATATCTGCCTCGTTGTCATGATCATTAATGTAAGAGTACAATTATATATATCTCTGCTTTATTGGATATATGTCACATGCCTATTATGATATTAATTTTACGCAAATAGAAATATCTTCCCTTTTTGTAGCACATAAAATGAATAAGTGAAGCAAAGTATACTTTAACACAGATTAATTTACGTGAAAGGATGATATAAAGTTGCAGTATATGATTTGAGAAGCAAGGGTGCTGCGAGTATATATAATTCTTACTGCCCATTAATTTTTTTGCAAAGATGCTCATACGTGTCTTGCACATCAAACATTGTGCCACAGTTTCTCTAAAACAATAAATAATAAAATACCACCACTACTACTACTACTACTTGGTTTAAAACAATAATAAGAATATGTATCTCCAAATTTGGTGAATCTTTTTTGGTTCCGTACAAGATTTGCTGTATATTGGATCGCAACATTAATTAATTAAAGGCCTTAACAAAAATCCCATGCCCCATGCACGAGAGACTTTGTAAAAACCGAACCAAAACTAAAAGAGATTCTTGAACTCTTTCTGTTTAACCAAAAAAAGAGATTCTTGAACAACAAATAAATGCGCTGAAAAGAATAATGGATTAATTGACATGGAACAGAAGCAAGCAAAAAAAAAAAAAAAAAATCAAATCCGGCAAGTTAATTTATAGGAATGATAATGTCACGTTCTATCATCTGCGGGTGGGTGAATCTCGTCATATCAAAGAGATGCTTAGAATATTGGGGGCATTTCGCTGCTGGACAACCAACGACAAGGTACCAACTCAGATTTAACCCCAAAAAAGCAGCACCAGTAAGTAAGTAAGTAAGTAAAAACATATCACAAGTGAAGTGAAACTAACGAAATACTAACAAAGACTCCATTTTATTTCAGCGTGTCAAACCTAAAACTCTACCCACATCATAATGTACAACAACTTGCATGGGCGCGGGAGAGGAGGGGGGTCTTTAACAATTAATGCACAGATTCGGCTAGCTAGGAAGCCTAGATCGGCAGAGCAGGCAAGTACTTGCGAAGTTGGTTTGGTAAAACTTCATACATATCATATTATTCATATTGGCTTAGAGGACGAATTGGATCCATACCCCTGCATTCTAATTGTACTGTTTTGTTCTAGCCTCGCCTCCATGCGAATTTATGCACACAAAATCGCAATATAATGTGGTCCTAAGACAATAAAATGAAAGTGCCTGCGACACCAATCTACTTCCTGCCTCCCAGCTCTTTGTACATATAAAAAGTGCCCTCAAGATTTGGTCCCCTCCGGCAGCACATCTAAAGTCGAGTCCAGACTACGAAGGTCCCAATTTTTTTCTTCTTCCCTCCCCATTTTCTTTTTTCTGACCGAATGGAAATGAATGGGAGTGAGTTCAAGTAACTTGATTCTCAAGATGAAATCAAGCTGCTAGATCTACCTCCGTGTTTTCTTTTCTGCCAATTTGATTTTTGTTCTGTATTAATCACTAAAAAAAATAAAAATAAAACGTATTCTTACTTCAGCCGCTAAGCGCTAATTCCTCGGGTACTTATAAAAGCAAGAATGTACTTTCACTTTTACACCCAAAGGCATTGCATGTAGTAAGTAAAAACAACAATTGACTCTCTATTTCTTCTCAAAGTACAGTTTGATTTGTAAGCAATAATACTCACTGAGGTTGGAATCGGAATTAGGTTGTGTTTGGATTGCATTTTCCGTCATTTTTCATGGAAAAATTACTGTAGCCATGCGAATTTATGCACACAAAATCGCAATATAATGTGGTCCTAAGACAATAAAATGAAAGTGCCTGCGACACCAATCTACTTCCTGCCTCCCAGCTCTTTGTACATATAAAAAGTGCCCTCAAGATTTGGTCCCCTCCGGCAGCACATCTAAAGTCGAGTCCAGACTACGAAGGTCCCAATTTTTTTCTTCTTCCCTCCCCATTTTCTTTTTCTGACGAATGGAAATGAATGGGAGTGAGTTCAAGTAACTTGATTCTCAAGATGAAATCAAGCTGCTAGATCTACCTCCGTGTTTTCTTTTCTGCCAATTTGATTTTTGTTCTGTATTAATCACTAAAAAAAATAAAAATAAAACGTATTCTTACTTCAGCCGCTAAGCGCTAATTCCTCGGGTACTTATAAAAGCAAGAATGTACTTTCACTTTTACACCCAAAGGCATTGCATGTAGTAAGTAAAAACAACAATTGACTCTCTATTTCTTCTCAAAGTACAGTTTGATTTGTAAGCAATAATACTCACTGAGGTTGGAATCGGAATTAGGTTGTGTTTGGATTGCATTTTCCGTCATTTTTCATGGAAAAATTACTGTAGCGATTTGATGTATGTGAGGGAAAAAGGTGATAGGGAAATGTGATCACGAAAAACAACGTAATTTCCCGACGACGAAAAGTTGCAATCCAAGCAACGTCTTTTTTTTTTTTTTGGGTGGGGACTGGGGATACATGGTAACAAACACAAATGGCATTAATTATGGTAATAAATCTCTCGCATGGACTTTTATGCGGAGAATAGAAAGAAGTTATTGTCCTCTGAGATTGCTCCACACTCTCGAAAGAAAGGGCAGGGTCCGCTACCCTCTGATAGAATTATATGGAGCTGTGAGCATGAGTAGATTGGGTCACATTTGCCTAGCCACATAGAAGAGAATCCCCACCCCCACAAAACCAAAAAAAAAAAACTTGAAATATTTACGAGTAGGTGGATTAAATTGCTAACTATCGACTAGTATGAAGTTTACACGTAAGACGAAAACCTTAAATTCATATCTTTTCATCACTTAATGTTAATTCATAGTCTTCCAATGTGCCAAACCCATTCGGCTCAGATACAATTCCATGTAAGTCTTTGTTTCACTAGCAGCATATATATATATTTGCAAGTTATTGATCATTTTTTTCAAAAAAAAAAACACACACACACACACGCACACGTGTTACCTTACCAAGGGTTTTTGTAAAGAAGTTCATATAATCTCTTAGCAGTGCTGATACCGAGGAAGTACAATATTGACACTAAATGATCAGTAGTATGAGGAACTCTAATTGTGTGAATTAACTCTTGCCACAAATAAAGAAAGAAAGAAAGAAGGAAGAAAAACAAAACCTCTCTTTTGCTATTGCCATTTGCCAATACACCAATCCTGGTCCATGAAAAAGGAAAAAAAAAATGATATGTGCAGAAATGTAATTTAAAGAAGGAAAGGAACTGTGGGGAAGTCAACAATTCCATGACAAGTGGTTTGGAAGGGGGGAGAAAAATACTAGAATAAAGGAGAAGGAAACTGACATTTCAGCGGAACTGATTTTATCATTATAATAATTAGGCGTAGCTAGCACAAACGAAAACACAAAGAGGCGGGGGGGGGGGGTGTTGGGCGAAAGTCAAAGTGTCAAAGTTCTCAAAGCCCCCACAATGGCCAATGGCCAAGCTAAGTAGTAGAATAATAATTGCAGACAAGTTTTAAGTGAAAGATGTATTAATTAGTGGGTTTAATTAAGAAGAAACCGAGTCCTATTGCGGCTCGGGCTACTTGGGCTCTTGTTTCTCTCACATGGGGATGGGGACCTTTTTTCACCAATTTCAAACCTCTCTATCAAATCTATATAAAGCCTAACCTTCTCTATCCTAATGTGTATTAATCCAATCTTAACTCTCCTCCCCCTTTCATTCATTCTTTCTTTCTTTCTTTCTTTCTTTCTTTCTCTACCGAGTCTAGTGGTGCTTGTAACAATTCTTTCTCTCATTACTCCCTCTTCATCTCTCTCTCTTTCTCTCTAAACCGTGTCGTGTACTTATATATACATATACCCAATCCAACCACCCCAACTCCAAGTCCGTCCATCAATACCTTTTGCACCAATCCATCAGTCTCTCCATTTGCGGTGATATATGGATCACGTTAAAGGCGGTGGTAGAGTTTGCAACCAGCAGCAGCTGCAGCAGCAGCAGCAAATTAGCGCTAGTAGTACTACTATTGCTGATCAAGAAGACATGATGATGATGATGATGGACCTCAGAAGAGGGCCGTGGACTGTTGAAGAAGACTTCACCCTCATCAACTACATCGCCCATCATGGCGAAGGTCGCTGGAATTCTCTTGCTCGCTGTGCTGTAATTACTATATTTGCCATCCCCATCTCTTCTCACATCCAAGCAAATACCAGTAATTAATAATCTACTCATGAGTCATGAGCCAGCTGCATCCATCCTAAATTTTTTGTCAATTTTGCTTCCCCTGATCTCTTTCATCCCATGATCAGCTTGCTTCAAAGGTATTTCTCGAGATTTGATGTTGTACCAAGTACATTTTTAGTTGTGTAGCCGTACAACATGATCTCGAGAAGCCGGTTAAGAACTCATCCCACCAACTCAATCAAGTTAAAGCGCAACCAAATTTAAAAAATAAAAATAAAATCAATGGCAAAACAAGTAGTATCCAAGAACAAAAGTAAAAGGGAAAATGGATACTTCCTTTTCCTTCTCTAGTAAAACTTTTGTTCTCAGAAACTGACGTATCAGCTTTACTCACCGTTGTTTTATTCTATGTGGCCACGTCTCTTCTAATGATGATTTTTTTTTTTTAAAGGTCTGAAGAGAACTGGAAAAAGCTGCAGATTGAGATGGCTAAATTATCTGCGCCCTGATGTTCGTCGCGGAAACATCACTCTTGAAGAACAACTCTTGATTCTTGAACTCCATTCTCGTTGGGGAAATAGGTATGGTACATACATATATATATATATACACACATGCTCAAATTCCCTCATTATGTATGATACGATATTCTTAGTTTTAATTCCTCTTTTTTTTCTTTTCTTTTTTTTTGCTTTTAACCTTGGATAGCGTTACTTGATGTGGGTTTTCTAACGACATTAAAAATCTGTTGCAAATCGTTACATATAGGTGGTCGAAAATTGCCCAACATTTGCCTGGTAGAACTGATAATGAAATAAAAAACTACTGGAGAACCAGGGTTCAGAAGCATGCCAAGCAGCTCAAATGTGACGTGAACAGCAAGCAATTCAAGGACACCATGCGTTATCTATGGATGCCAAGATTAGTCGAGAGAATTCAGGCAGCTGCTGCAGCCGGAGCTAATTCCTCCACCGCCGCCAGGGCCACGGCCGCCACAGCAACCACCACCAGCAACTCTAACTACCACCAAGGGAATACCAGCATGGTGGCGGATGTGGGCTCCGGCGGCCAAGTGATTCTGCCACAGGCCAGCACATATGGCGGCCGTGTTACCATGAATCCCAGCAGGAGCACCAGTTATACGCCTGAAAACTCCAGCACACCTGCCTCATCGGACTCATTTACGGCACAATTCTCGCCTGTTTCAGACTTGACCGATTGTTACAATTATCCAGTCAAACAGAGCAATAACCAAGATTATTATCAAGCTAATAACCAGCTATCTTATGGAGAGACCTTGACTAGCCCCACAGGTTACTTTAACCAAGCCCTGGACTTCCACCTCATGGAGCAAAACAACGCATGGATGGACGGCGGTGATGTATCCGACAATCTGTGGAATGATGAGGATGCTTGGTTCTTCCAACAGCAGCTCAACAGTAACACATTTAATTAAAAAGACAACAATTATTAGATTTACTTACTTAATGGAACTCAGCTTCAGGATTACTGTTCGAGGGGAAAATAATTGGTACTGATCAGTACAAGTAAAACATACAAGTACTGCGTAGAGAGGTAGAGAGATTGTCGGGTTGGGGATACATACGGAGGAATTGCAGAGTTCTCAAATCCTTCCTCCAAGAATATAATGTTGTAGGACACGAGTAAAGTTTGTAGCTAGGCAAGGACAAGTTTAATTGTTGATTATTAATTATCTTTTGTATTATGTAATTTTTTGGTTTAATAGTAACATATATTTTTTTTTTGCCTTTAGATTTTTCTCTTTTGGGATGGATCCAATATTAAAAAAAAAAAAAAAAAAAGAATAGAAATTTGTATGCTTAATCGGGGGACAATTTTCAACACCATCATTCTTTGAAATCGACCTTGTGAAATAGTTTCGTTTTTTTTAAAGTTATAACTGATAATTTAATGGCATATATATATATATATATATATATATATATATATATATGATTACATTACAGAAGACGGGTGTTGGGGTGTTAGTAAGTATAGAGATATATAGATGCAAAATGATAGTGTTTGTAGAAGTGCATAATTGGTTCCACTATCTTTTACAGGAATGTCTTTGTTGCTTGTTATTTTAATCCTATTCATAGTCATGGAATTTGTGAAACATAGTCCATGGGGCCTGAACCAGATTAGGGAGTATAGACCCTTGTCCTTGTTCTAGATTAATTTAGGAAGAAAAGTTGAGAAGCAATGATTTGAGACGTGGCATAATTCTGAATTACACAGATATACTTAACATCAAAAATGTTTACTGTAGGAGGTCATCAATTACTGTGCTGCTGTGTATTGTTTTACTGTAGTACAATGTGAGTGACTTCCGATGTCACGCATACATTACCCAACTCTGCATCCGCCAATGATGTTTCGGACCGGCTTTTGTGATTATTATATACTTTTTATTACCCGATGCTCACTCCTTTGCCTTTGTCTTTGTGCTTTGTTTGCCATCCCTCGGACAGACTCGCTTGAAAGTTGAACCCATCCAACTCGACATCCACTTTTTAACACCAATATTGCTCATCAATTTCTCAAATTCTATTAGTAATATACAAGAAAGTACACCCCAAACTTACCCCACAAAGTTACCCCAAAGTTCCAACTTCCAAGTAACAAGAGATGACGATTTTTAGCAAAAGTGTCACGCTCCTCATATATATATTATATATATATATATATATATATATATATATGTATGTGTGCGCATATGTATGTATGTATATATATATATGTGTGTGTGTGTGTGAAAATAGCATATTGCTTGTGAGGAAACTGCCTGTTCTTGGAAAAAATAGGAAAAAAAACAAAAAGCAATTGAAGGTTCCTAATACCATAAAACGTAAGAGGTTATGTAGAGTTCATATAAATCTACCGCCTTAAGGAATACATTAATCTTACAAACTGGAATGTATCTATTCCTATTCTTGATTTTTTTTTTTTTTTTTTTGGGTGGGGTTTCAACTCTTGTGAATTTAAATTTTAATATTTAATAATATATTTGATATAAGGGTTAATAATATTTTTTTCACTACCTAACGGTAAATTTTACTTACCCCAAAGAAACAAACGGTTGAATCCCTAATAGATAAAGGGACCAAAAGCAATTCTGGATTCCCCGCCCTGCCGTGAAAACGCAGAATTTTTCGTTAGTGAGGGATGAAGAAAACATAGGCCGAGAAAATGGAAATGGTGGTGGAGGCCGTCCGTCAGCAGCTGGATGGCCACAGATAGAAGCTATAGAGAGGTATACATTCTCGTTCGAAAGAAGTCCTCTAGTGTGTGTGTGTGTGGTCTGTGAGAGAGAAGGACACAGAGAGAATGAAAACGTGATAGAATAGTGTAGAGAGAGAGGAGTTGGCGGCGGCAGGAATCTTTGTAGGCCGCGTTCCTTTTATAGAAGCCACCAAAGTGGTCCCTCGAAGTAGAAGTGCTGTGTTCTGGATCTTCCACGTGTACACCCAAAAGCGTATAAATTTATGGTTAAGCGCTTAGTCTGACCTTTCATACACGGTAGCTATCATAAAAATTTTTTCTAAATATTATATTTATAGAGTTAATTATATATATAATTTTAATTTTGACTTTAAATTTAGATAAGTTGCCGTACACTCAACAGTAACAATATATAAAATACATATTTTTATAAAAACAAGTAAAAAACTTTTTTTTTTTTTTGAAGATCCACTAATAAAATTTGAAACTATATACTATTTTCCTTTTGAATTTTGTCACAAAAGAATTTCACTTTATGTTAGAAAAAAAACCTATGCAACTCACCTTATTTTATGAAAGTAAAAGTAGTATGAGAGCCGCAACCCTTGAAACAAAACCATCACTTCAATTGTAAAACCTTCCCCAAATTCTTATTTTCTCTCTTTCTTTTTTACTTGCCACGTAGATTCCCAGTCATCTTTTGTTTGGGGTTCCGGATAAAAATTAGAATAGCAACAAAAGGTGCAACTCAAGTTCAACCTCCCCCCCCCCCCCCCCGTCGAGATCGTGCTTCAACAGCTTAGCTTCTAATTAGTATGCAAGAGTCATGATGGACTGCCCATCTTATCTTATGAGTTCAGACTTACAAATGCTTGTTTTAATTTATCAAATCAAGGCTTTGCAAAGCATCACTTGAACTCTAAAAGGTGGAGGAGTAGTACTAGTTCGTTATTAGACTTTTTAGGGAATCTTCTGTACATTCTATACAATGTATACACTTTCACTATTAGAGCACGATGCATAATTCGAATTTAAATTTGAAATTTAAATTATGTATATATATCGTGCATCCAACCGTAATAGTGTATACACTATCAATGTATATCATATTTACTATATATGTATTACACGATCGAGGAATGTCAAAAATTTTCATATTTTATCAGTATGGAATTAATTTAGACTGCATAAGGCAACTTTGATTGGAACGAAGTTGATTTTTTTTTTTTTTAAGTATTTATCCACTTCATCAGTTGAGATACCATGGGCTGTTGGAACTAGCATCAAATATACACAATTAAACTACAGGCAGGCATTCCACATTTTTAAGTGCAGATATTAGCATTAATTTGTCTACCTTCAAATTAATAGTAGTACTAAGGAAGATTTCAACGATATTTTATGTAATCCAAACGGAACAGTCGAAAGGTCCTTAGTTACATTGGATTTTAGGAACTCATAATTAAAGAGCATTCAGATCATCACACCCTACTTAA